TACTGGCTTGCATCTGTTGCTGTTTCCTCTGTCTCTAAGGACATTGTCTCCAAAGATACCTTTCCTAACCTTTTTTTTTTTTAATTTCAAATATTACTGAGAAGACTCATTAGTTACCTTGTTTATGGGTCACCAAGGACTTTTGTTTATTCACCTACTTGCATTTTTTTATCAAATAAAGAAAATCTGAAGCCTGTTACAGTAATCTCATTTGAGACCTGAAGAGCATTTCTGCTGGAATAGGAAAGGATTCCCAACATCCCATCTGCTCCTTATATAATTCTTGTTATTTTTTTTTTTGCTTTCTTATAAAAATTTTAATAGAACACCAAGGAAGTCCATCAAATTTGTCAAGGAGCTTGATTTCAGAGAGCTCTATGAACTTCAGAGTTATAAACGTAATAGTGCAGTGATAAGCAATAACCAACAGAAATTAACATGAAAGTCTTGATCTGAACTATCATTTTCAATGTACAAATTTAAGAAGGGTTGTATTTCAACAGCCAGTACAAATTATGATTGACAGTCATAACAGTAAGTGATATAAAACTTCTCACCTTAATAATATTTACTTTTATGTGGTCTGAGTCTTATACTGAGGAAGACAATTATATTTCATAAATTTCTTGAAACTCATAGATATGTTTATTCTTAGTTTTGATATCTTAAATTTTTTAAAAGGTATGGTTTCTTTTATATATAAATGCCATTATCTGGAAGATTTTATGCATACCAGTATATGAACATTTAAAGCAATTAAAAGTATATTATGTATACTGCCAACCTCATATTAAGAAAGAAAATAAATATATACACTAATCATATGCTCATATAATCCTCCAAAATAATGGCATACTGGCTTAAGTTGCATTAGAACTGTATTTCAAATACATATTCTGAAAGTAAAGTAAACAAAAAGCATTTTGTTACATTTAGTCTCTGTTATCTTTTAAGTTTTATTTTATTAAACACTGTGATGTTTTGAAAAAAGAATATGTTTCTAGAGTCAGTATAATGCGAAATGTTTGTAAGATTGAGTAAGTTCATTCAGGGATATATATGTTACTTTTCTTATTAGAATGAGAGATACAGGAAGCCACAACCGGATAGGCAATAATATTCATTTGAACTAATAAGATTCTTTGAAGTGCTCACAAATTCTCTAAAAAATATTCTAGTTGTTAATGAACTATGAGTAAGACTAATTCTTCCCTGGTTTTCATCACTGAACCCATAAATGTATTCACAGCTTAGGTAGTCAGAGCTGATCCTGGCCTATACAGATAAAAAAACATATTATTTTACACATTGAGTGAGCTCACACACAAATCAATTGATCTCTTAAAGGAAAACATACATTTACAAATTCACCAATAAATAAAAATATCTGGCTTGGAGAGACTAATCTTAAAATAAAACCATAGGAATTGATGAAAATGAAGATGGAATGTAAGTCTGAGGAGAAGCAATGAGGGATGAAAACATACAAAGAAATATCAATGGTAAGAGGGTTGGACGGGGAAAACTAATACTGTCTAGAGAGCTGTGGTGCATTTGAAACTAATTTATGAGAGCATCTCCGGAAAGAATAAATGCAATACTTTTAATTAGGCATTAAAATATACTGCATTCTTTACCTTTAGGGAATAAAAGAAATTACACATAGAACAACCTAAGAAGTAGACAGGAGAAGAGCTGTAATTGTGTGCAAGCATGGATGCATTTAGAGTCTAGAGCTATCCATGAAAGAAAATACATAAGAACATGCACTTGCAGGTCTTCAGAATGTGCATAGAGAATCCAGTTATATGGCATATTTTAAAATTTTAAAAAGAAGTAAAATGTCAAGTGAATACATCAAATAGAAAATTCTCAAGGCAAGTGCATTTATATTCCTCAGGGAGTGAAAAATTGGTAGTATTCAAATAAATTCTTTTCATAGTTGGACTCATCTTAAATTTTTTATAAGAAAAGTATAATGATTATAGATAAAATGTAATCTAAATGATCTATAATAAAATATTTCTGAATATTGTATGCAGCTTGGACAAAAGTCAAGAGTCAGTGATGAACCGTACTATAACAACGTTCGTTCTGCTGGGACTGACTGAGGATCCTCAACTGCAGGTTTTGGTGTTTATCTTTCTTTTTGTCACGTACGTGCTGAGTGTAACTGGAAATCTGACAATCATCATCCTTGTCTTACTGGATTCTCACCTTAAAACAGCCATGTACTTTTTTCTACAAAATTTCTCCTTCTTAGAGATCTCATTCACTTCTGCCTCTGTTCCCAGATACTTGTATAACATAGCAACAGGTGACCAGCTCATTTCTTATAATGCCTGTGCCAGTCAAGTTTTTTTCACTGACCTCTTTGGTGTAACAGAATTCTTCCTTTTGGCTGCCATGTCCTATGACCGCTATGTGGCGATTTGCAAACCCTTGCATTATGTGACCATCATGAGCAGCAAAGTGTGCAGAAGACTTGTCTTTTGCTGTTGGGTAGCTGGTCTATCGATTATAATCCCTCCCCTCAGCCTGGGATTAAATCTAGAATTCTGTGATTCAAATATCATTGATCATTTTATTTGTGATGCATCTCCTCTTTTGAAGATCTCCTGTTCAAATACTTGGTTCATGGAACAGACTGTTATAATCTGTGCTGTGCTGACACTCATTATAACACTCGTATGTGTCATTCTGTCCTATGTTTATATCATCAAGACAATTTTAAGATTTCCATCTGCTCAGCAAAAGAAAAAAGCCTTTTCTACTTGTTCTTCTCACATGATTGTCGTTTCTATTTCCTATGGCAGTTGCATATTCATCTACATCAAACCCTCAGCAAAAGAATCAGTGGCCATTAATAAAGGTGTGACAGTGCTCACAACTTCCATTGCTCCTATGCTGAACCCTTTCATCTACACCCTCAGGAACAAACAAGTAAAACAAGCCTTCAATGACTCACTTAAAAGAATTATAATATTTTCCAAGAAATAATGGAATCAGAAGTAGAGTTTACACATATATAGTGAACGTCCAAGATTCTCTCATCAGATTAACTTTCTCAAAATCTTACCTCACTTCATCTAAACTACATACTCATTTTCTCAAAAAAATTCCCTGAATCAACTTGTTCACAGCATTTTAATATTTGCATTCCAACTTCATCTCAAAATCAGTAATATCAAACAGTAAAACAAGTAAGATGAAAAATGTCTCTCTGAATCAGGAACATTAAAAGAGGGATTCAAGTATTGGATTCCTGACAACAAATTTCTACATTTTCCAGGGAAAAAAAATTGATGATAATCATCTCCTTTAATTAACTATTTCAAATGCCACATGAGTTGATTCATTTTAGAAATGTATACTGAGCCTTTTAAAAAAATCAGATATTCTTTGTTCTTTTTTCTCTTCAAAAAAATTAAAATTTTATTTAAAACATATAATTACTTGGGGAAAAAAGTTGAAAAATAATACAGTGAGTTCTTATCTACCCCAGACCAGTCTCCCCTTTAACTAACATCCTACATAAGTATGTTACATCCTACATAAGTATGCTACATCCTATATAAATATGTTTATCATATTCGGTGAGCCATTATTGTCAGAGTGACTTTATCTAAACTTTATATTCATAGATTTTAACTAATGTCCTTTTTTTCTGCTATTTTTTACATTTTAAGAAAAAGAGAAGGGAATAAAATCCCCAACAGTCTAACATATAGAAGTTAAAAAATTAGAAACAAGTATTTTTAAAAGGGGAAAATTCCCACAAAACGAACTTTTTTGGCTAATGAAATGGAATGATAAGCTTTATAATGCTGTAAAACCTTCTTCTCTTTTCCTTTTTAAACTCTGTATATTCTTCTGTGCTCTTCAGTTCTCCAGATTTATCTTTTGTTTTTATCTACATTTGAGTTTTCTCTTTGAGTTTGTGTGTTACTCACTGTAGTCTTTTTTTTTACACTTTTGTGATGTCTCTAGAATGTCATTCTAAAGACTAAGATGCACCTGCCTGTCACCATGATATTTGCAATTGTTTCATATACTTCTGAAAGTTAGACAATGTATAAGGAAGATTGAGGAAGGATTGATGCTTTTAAATTGTGATGTTCATGAAGAATTTTGAATATACTATAAACTGTCAAAAGAGGAAGCATAACTATTTTATAAGCTATGAAGCCTGAATACTATTTAGAGCCCAGGATGGTTAGACTTCATCTCTCAGACTCTGAGAAACTTTTGCAGGGGTGCCACTCCTTGGAAAAAGACATCATGGTGGGAAAAGCAGAGAACTAAAGATAGAAAGTTGGTTTGACACAATGATTGCCACAAAGGGCTAAAAAGCACAACAGCACGAAACCAGGTAAGCTTTTGATCTGGTCACTATGAGTCAAGGCAGACTGAAGGGCTTGTAACAACCACAATTAAAACCATCTGGTTTTCTTGTTGTCTAATATATCTTGACAACCTTTGGAGTTTTCCATATTTTGTTTCATTTATAATAGTTTTCTTGCTGTTTGAGTCTTGCATTTTCTGAAGTATTTTAAGTCTGGTTTGTAGTCTATATTCTATTTATCTCACATAATATAACAAACTGTGGCTGACTCTGAGAAGAGTGGGAATCCCAGAACATTTGATAATACTAATGAGAAACCTATACTTGGACCAAAAGGCAGTCATCAGAACAGAGCAAGGAAACACTGCATGGTTCAAAATTGGGAAGCACATATGCCAGGGATGTGTCCTGTCTCCATACCTTTTCAACCTGTACGCAGAACAGATTATCCGGGAGGCTGGGCTCTATGAGGAGAAATGTGGTGTCAAGATGGGTGGAAGATCTATCAACAATCTGCATTATGCAGATACAACCTTGTTTGCTGAAACTGAGGAGGACCTGAAGCACTTGCTGCAGAGGATCAAGGACTGTAGCCTTCAGTATGGATTGAGGCTCAATGTCAGGAAGACAAAGATTCTCACAACTGGACCAATTGGCATCAGGATGGATGGTGAAGAGATTGAGATTGTACACAGCTTTAGTTTGCTTGGCTCCACAGTCAACATCTTGGCACCAGTAGCCAGGAAATTAACAGGTGTATTGGCATGGGAAAGTCTGCTGTTAAGGACCTCTCCAAAGTACTGAAGAACAATGGTGTCTCTCTGGAGACTAAGGTGCATCTGATACAGGCCATGGTCTTTGCAATCACTTGTTATGCATCAGAGAGTTGGACAATGACTAGGGAGGATAGAAGGAGAATTGATGCCTTTGAGCTGTGGTGCTGGAGAAGAGTGTTGAGAGTACCATGGACTGCTAGGAAAACAAACATTCATCCTGGAGAAGGTTAAACCGGGTGGCTCTTTGAAAGCAAGGATTCTGAGGTTCCGTCTAACATACTTTGGACATGTTGTGAGGAGAGACAGGTCCTTGGAGAAGGACCATCATGCTTGGGAGGGTGGAGGGACAGCGCAGGAGGGGAAGGCCCTCTATGAGGTGGATTGATTCAGTGACTGGGTAATCGGGATGGAAGTGTCAGAGACAGTGCGATTGGCACAGGACAGAGCAGAGTTTAGGGCTGTTGTACATAGGGTTGCTATGAGTCGCAAGCCACTCGATGGCACATAACAACAACAACAATATCTTCTATGGCATCTGACAATTTTTAATTATATACAAGACATTGTATTTCTGGAGCTTTAAATGTTATAAGCTGCAATAATGGTATCATATTATAAAAAGGAGGTTCATTTGGCTTCTTCCAAAATCATGATTAGTAGTTTGAAGATAATTTAAGTTAAAAACTCAAAAATGTATTTCTTCTTAATGCATTTCAATCAAATAGGAAGCCATTTCATGCAAGAAGGACACAATTCATTTGTTTTAAAGTTGAATTTTGCATCTGTTGTATTTTTTCTCACACATCTTGTTTTCTATTTACCCCATTTCTTTGTACTCAATATGCTTGAGTAGTATGAATTAAATATTTAATAAATTTTTAAAACTTGAAATTTTTGACATTAAGTCAATCCTTCCAACAGAAATTTTAGGAAGGAAAAATAGAGTTCTGTAAGTTTAGTTGCCTCGTGGTAAGAAGCTGCACTGCTATCTCAATGGTACACTGTTCAAATAACCAGTTGCTACACATGTTGTAAGGAGGGACAGGTCCTTGAAGAGGGGCATCATGCTTGGGAGGGTGGAGGGACGGCGAAAGAGGGAAAGGCCCTGTATGAGGTGGATTGATTCAGTGACTGGGGTAATCGAGATGGGTGTGTCAGAGGCAATGCGATTGGCACAGGATAGAGCAGGGTTTAGGGCTGTTGTACATAGGGTTGCTATGAGTCACAAACGACTTGATGACACATAACATCAACGACAACAACAACAACACAGGAGAAGGATGGGTAGTATCTTTCCACTGATTAAATGGTCCCTGAAAACCTACCAGAGGGTTGGCTATGAGTCCATTCTGTCTTGACAGCACACAACAACAACAATAGTATGATTTAATAGTTTCAAATAAAGAGTTTCTATTTTGTGGTCATTATCTTTTTATCTCATTTTTATGGTTTAAATTAATGTTTTTAAAATTGATATTCTCCATTCTTAATTTTGTTTCTTTGATTATTTTTAAACCATCTTAATCCAGTTATACATAAACTGTACATTATATACCTATTAAAAATATCTTTTATTGACAAAAAAATAAGTGTAAGATGTATATTGAATGAGAAAATAAGTTTTGCAATAAAAGTATAATAGAAACTAACATAAGAGTTTATATAATTTAAAACTATTGTGTAAACAGACATTCTACTTCTCCTCTTTTAGTTTGTCTTTGTATCTTTCACGGTCTTGTGATTTTGGAAGCTATGTCATTATTATTCCAATTACCAGCAAAGCCACCTATCGCAGAGAGATTTTAGCTGGGTTTCCATATTAAGTTAGACTAGGAAGAAAGACTCACTGATCAAAAACATTGATCAATAAAAACTTTAGTAATAGTGTCTATGGTATTTTCAATCACTTCTTATGCCCTTAAAACCTGAACTATGAATCTGAAACCTGCCCTATCTTATCACTTTCTGCAAGAATTGACCCTTCCCTAAATTGTATCTTAACATCAAGAAAATAAAGATCCTCACCACAGGGCCAACAGACTGTGTCATAACAGATGGAGAAAGGATTAAGGTTGTTAAGGATTTCACCTTGCTTGGATCCACTATCAGTACTCTTTGTATCATAAGAAGAGTTGCACTGGGAAAATATACTGTCAAGGATCTTTCCAGAGTGCTAAAGAGTGATGATATCAGCTTAGACGCTAAGTTGTGTCTTATCCAGGCCATGATCTTATAAATTGTTTGCCATGTATTGGAGAGCTGGGTAATAAAAAAGGATGACAGAAGAAGAATCAATACCTTTGAGTTGTGGTGCTGGAAAAGAGTATTGGACTGCTAAGAAAACATACAGGTCTATCCTGGAAAGAGTAAAACCAGGTTGTTCCTTGGAGACAAGAATTTTGAGGCTCTGTCTCAAAAACCTTGGACATGTTGCCAGGAGGGACAAATCCTTGGAAAAGGACATCATTCTGGAAGGGTAGACAGTCAGTGCAGAAGAAGAAGACCCTAGATGAGATGGATGGATGCAATGACTGTGGCAATGGGGTCAGGTGTGTCAGAGACAGAAAGTTAATTCAGAATAGGACAAGTTTAAGAGTCATTGTTCATTGGCTTGCCAGGAGTCATAGATCACTCAACAACACATAACAACAATAACATGCCCAAAGTATATGAGACATAGTTTCACCATCCTTACCTCTAAGGTAAGTTGAGGTGAAAAGAGGCCTTTTTTTTTAAAGGGTAGAAAAGATAAAGGGTCAGTGAAGAGAAGAAGACCGTGAGTAAAATGGATTAACACAGTGATCACAGCAATGGGATAAAGTATGTCAGAGATAATGAGGATATGAGGATGGCACAAGAGAATGAAAGTTGCAAATCTG